TAGCATCTTTAACCTTTTTACCCTACCAATTCTACCTTTAACAACGAGAAGAAAACAAGTGAACCTAAACAACACTCCCCACAATTACCTTAAGAGGTTCTCGTCGAGTACGACGGACGTGAGGGGTGCTAATACCTTCCCCTCACGTAACCGACTCCCGAACCCAGAACTTGGTTGCGACAGCCCTGTTCCTATCCTTTCGTTTTAAGAGGTTTTCTCGATATTTTCCTCTCCCGTTTGTTCGGGAAAAATAAAGTTCGGTGGCGACTCTGTCGAACCGCATTTCCGCGCCTTCCGCGCGAGGGTCGTATTTTCGAAAGAATTTTTTCGAGGTGCGGAAAAATAAAGTTCGGTGGCGACTCTGTCGAACCGCATTTCCGCGCCTTCCGCGCGAGGGTCGTATTTTCGAAAGAATTTTTTCGAGGTGCGACAGCCACGTGTGTGCTTGGATGTGGAATGGCAGAGGCAGTAGTTGCAATTCATGTCCCCGAGGTTGAAAGGGTGATGATGGCCCCCGATTTTGTTGATTCTCGAGAAAATAGCCATGATGGAAGTGACGTCATAAACGTGCATCAAGGTGGCGGAACAGTAGCTTGCGTGTTCATAGCTATCTTTCTTTTTCTCTTTCATTCCCTTTCACCTTCCCAGACTTGCATTGGTGGAAAGAGTATCAGCCGACACGCATGAGGACAAAGCGGCGTCGAAGGCCAGACACTGTAAAAAAATGTGCTTTTCCACAGTCGAAGTTGAAAAGATTTTTGGGGGGCAATTTGTTAGCTCCTAAATTCGACGCCTCATGTAGAAGGAAGGTATCCAAGACAAGAGGGTAGATAATAAGTTGAGAACAAGAGAATGGTCGAAAGAGGCAAAGCAGACAGAAGAAGAAGTCGAAGGACTCACCCAGCAGCCAAGAGTTCGACCGCTTGCAGGAGAAGAATGGTTTGTCGAAGGATTTGAAATTTAAATATTGGAGGGAACGATTTTGCTTGTTGAATATTGAGGGAGACACGTGTCACCTTATGAGCAGCAGATCCATGCATGTGTGACAAGTGGCGAAAGGAGATTATGATGGAGGTTATTAGAGGTTATTTTCTTATTACTATAAATAGGGTGTCTTAGACATATCCAAAGTGTGTTGTAATTTACTATTGTACAAATTACTCTTGAAATTACTCCAAGTATCCGAGTGTAGAGAAAGCGAGTATTGTAGAGAATGTACGTGATGTAAACACACCATCTTTTAACTTAATGCAATTTACTTGTTTTTTACTTTAAATTTTACAAAGTCTTTTATTGTCTTTATCCCTTTTCCCTTACTTTATCTCTCCCCTTCCTATGCAATTATCTTCTCTTCGTCCTCAATCTGACTCCTTTTCTCCCAACAAACTTTCCTCTCCTTTATTAAAAGCTTCATTTTGTCTTTAAATTAACCCGTAGTCGAATTGATGTTCCTTTAGAATTCTTTCACCCTAATACTGTTCGAGTGTGGAACTTGAATAGACTCTTAAAACAAAAACAAACCTTTTAGCACATGTCCTAGGATCAATCTGATCGATCCTGTGAGTCACCAAAGTTAGATTTGGAAGATCAGCGGTTGTGTTCCGATTTTCAAGGGAAACACATTGTTAGATTAAAATTAAAATGTATCAAAACATGTGTCACTACCTAAATCTATTGGTGATTCATTCCTTAACCTTTTCTTATTTGATTCTCTTTCAGCGTCACTCGGCTTGGTGAACTCTTTCATCCTTTTCATAAAGTGATCCGACCAAGTTTCAGCATCTTAGGTGAAATATGCTACCCAATATGGTGTTGTTTTTGGTATAAGACATTCTGATTTCAAATAAAGTTGAACAAAGTATTGTGTTTCTGAAGCCACCTAATACATATGATGTGTCCGGATGGATTTTTAGGTGGTCTACTCCGAAGTGGAAAAAATGCTTCCAAACTGTATCTTGTCAAACGGTGCCAGATTACTAACACAAGGATCAAGAGCATTGAGAATTACATCGTACTTTTTTTCCCGTATAGCTTTGTGTATAATTCTCGATGCTCGTTATCTCTTGATGATCCTCATCTCCTTTATCGAGCAAACCTGAAACAGCTCGAAAACCACAGTTGTCATCACCTTTCTTGTTTACAATCTGCTCAATGGAGGAGATGGTTTTCTAATTTGAGCACTCTTGAAAACACTTTTTTTGAGATTTTGGAGTTGGAGAATTCAGAAAATGTGAGTCAAAATGTTCAAAGTATGAAGGAGATTGTCTCGCAGTGTTGTCACTATGTGTCGATTTGAACTTTTTAGGGGCACCTTTTGTTTTAACTAGTTCCGACTGTAGTCTCAAATCTATTGTTTTGGGATGAAACTTTTCGTAAGTTTCTCTTTGATGTGCAATTTCATGATGTCATATGCTTTCGAAAATATCTCTTGGATTACTTCTCATTCGGTCATAATTTTTTTACTTGATTTATCATCCTTCATCACACCATCGTCATCAAACTGAAGCCTTGTCTAGTGAGTGTAAACTTCATCCATATGTATCGGTGTATCAAGCTAAACAAGCACATGGAAAAGTGTACATCTTTCTAAGTGTACAACCACACTTTGAGCTATCCAAACTTGTTTCATCTGCTCACTTGGCTTCGTGAAAAATAAAACTCAATGCCGCCCGAGATATGTTGTCAACCAATTGTGAATAAAGGATGTTGTTTTTTTGTTCAGTATTCTAACATGGTAATTCTCCGACCAAACAATATATGCGTCTTATTATGTTGTTATCAGAGCATTTGGTTCACAACATCCCAATCTAAAAAAAATCACCTTTATTGTTTCCCAACCAATTCTTCAGTGTAACATGTGTAGATTCAACTCGGTTAGTTGTTATATTTCCTGTTAGAACAAAATGGTTAATATTGTATCCATTGGGTTTTGGTGATAACCAAGTATTTAAAGAACAATTAGACTTTCTAACATTTGTTCAAGTTTACAGGAATATAATCATTAAGAGCAATTGAAAAGATACTTGAGGAATTTGGCTCTGAAGATTATAATCTGGCTCTGAAGATCACTTCTGAAGACTTTCACTCTGGTGTTGATCTAGACTCTGAAGAAGTCAACTCTGAAGAAATTCAGCCTATGGTGACCCAGACTCTGAAGCTTCAGAAGGCAAAGAAGTGGACTGTGATGTGATCAACCTCTGAAGAGTGAAGTATGAAGAAAGTCAAACTCTAAACCGGAAGAGGCAACTCTGACAGACTTAGAACTTTTTGATCACTTGAAGACTTAAGAAAAAATCTCTTTCATAGGTGTTTGAGCTTCAACGGATAATTCCTCTTGCAGAAAAGTGTTTTATTCTATCGTTGCTATTGTGCCCGGAGGCACACCAAAATGCGCTATTGAAAATTCTGAATTCGGCATTTGTGCTGCAAGAGATTTCAGTGAACCAGCAAGGAGTGGTAGCTCATGTGAATGATGGTAATTGTCTAGGTTTTAGAGATTTGGATTTGACTCCTGCCCGGTGTCATACCCCAAATTTGTCCTACCTATATAATTCTCATATGTAATTCCATCCACCAACCATATTCTGAAGATTAAAATATGTTGAAGTTGCTTTCATCTTTTCTGTTGCCTAAATCCAAGATTCATGTTAGGATGTCAAGTCAGTGGTAGGTGTAGAGGTTCATCTAGTCTTAACCTAATCTTAGTAAGAAAATAATGTGTTTCAAGATCAAGTTCTCAAGATGTGTCAGGTTGTCAGGTGCTTCATGGTTAAAGATCGTCAGGGCCAGTTCACTGTCAATTAGAGTTTTTGTTCAATAGCAGCACAATTCATATCTTAAGTCATCTGTATCATTGATTATTTTAAAAGACAAGTGTGGGTTAAAATTCATGTGCTTTGAGGATCCAAGATAGGTTTATGTGCAAGGTCAAGTTACCTGATGAAGGAGAATGCAAACTTTCTATCCAATCCAAATTCAATTCAAGATGGAATCGGGATGTGGTGTTTTCCTCATGGAATTGATTCAAAGTTTCAATGCATTTTTGGCATGATTTTAATGAAGAGTTTAAGATGCTGAACCCTGGTTTCGAGGATGTTTTTTTGGTTCAAGTCAGGAGTGTCATTTATCCAAGATTTGTTTCAAGTGGCTCGTATTTTTTAGCTGATTCATGGTTTGGTCGAAATTCAAGGATTCAAGTTTCAGGACTAATTTCATTTCAATTCTAATCTAAGCTAATTCCATCTCAAGTTCTAATGCAGATTTCACTTTCAATATTCAATTCCAATTCAAAACTAATTCAACTTCAAATTTCAATACTTTTCCAATTTTATTCGAATTCAAGTCCCAAGTTCAATAAATTTAATTCAAATTCATAGTTTCATTCAAGCTTATTTCAAATCAAGAAAATTCAAGTTCATTTTTCCAATTTTAATTCATAACTCAATTTCATGTTCAATTTCATTTCAATCCAATTCTAATCTCACACAAATGAAAAAACTCATTCTCAATTCAAGTTACAAAATTACATTCCAAATTTCAAGCCCATCACAGGAAAAAAAAACTCCTTCTCAATTCAAGTTACAAAATTACATTCCAAATTTCAAGCCCATCACAAGAAAAAAAGAACATAAAATCCGTAGCATCCAAATTCAAAAGTCCATCAAAACTTTACAAGAAAAGGAGATACATCTTTATCTTCTTTTTTTTGGGGGATGGTCCGCAGTTTTTTTCCCAGGGGTCCTTTCCATTTTTTCGATCGCACTTAAACCCTCAACTTCTATACACAACCACCATAGAACCCGTGCTTGAGCAATAACCTTGCGAAAACACACCCCACCACTGCTGTTACTTGCCTCACCATAACACCCCTCATTCTGATATTTTCTAAAGAAAAGCAAAACAAAACCTGTGTTGCTATGCGACCTCGCCACCTTCCACAATCTCTCTTTTCACCACCACTTTTTGTTTTCATTACTAACCCATAACCTTGCCTCCTTCATTCAACAACAAAAGGAGACCACATCTTGAATTCTCTTCCTTAATGTTACACGCTGACACAAATTCACTGCCGCAAAGCCACTCTTTTTCATACTCACGACATCACCTCCCTTTTTCGCAGTACACTCGCAGCCCCATAATCTGCTAGTTTTCAAAGAAAAACCACCATGAAAGTAATTGGAACAAAACCTCTTCTTAATCTTCAGAACCACCATGCTAAACACAAGCTTCCACAGAACCATCTTATTTCGCCGGAAAACTACGGCTATCAAGGCCAACTCCGCTCCAATTTTGTCCCAACCGGCAACCATAACTCAAACGACACAAGAACTACCGTGCTTCGCTCCGCGTCGCAATAACCATTAAATCCACGGTGAGAGTATGACTCGTTCTCCACCCGCTATCTTTTTGCCGTATCTCTCTTCAAACCTTACAAATGCTTCATTAACAAACCAAACTTCAATTCTTCATCTTCCTCAACCATTCATAACCGCACCTACAAATTGCCCCAAATTTCTCCAAAAAAAAATCAATCCAACTTTCAATCACCAATCACAAACTCACACCATACTTTCATATCAAAGAAGATTGGAATAAGTGAGAAGAAGTAGTTCACCTTGAATCGAAGGTTGTTCGGAGATTTTGTCGAGATTCCGCGAGTTCGATTCGAACAATCCAAGCACAACGACGCGAAATTGAAAACATATTCAGAATCTACACTTGATTTTGATCTATTCCGTGCTCATTTCGTATCCTATCGCTCCGATTCGGTTGAGTTTCGAATTACAAGCAGGTGAATAATGATGGTGATGAGAACTACACGATGAAGAAGAGGACTTGATTTTCTGACTTTTATTTTATTTTATTTTATGAATGGGTATGGTGTAGTTGGGCCTGACCCGTGTTTCTTTTACCACATCACCACTATTTTTTTCCATGCACCTTAGCTTGATTTGTTTTCTTTTTTTTAAAGAAAAATATGATTTAGTGATTTAGATAATTTTTTTTTTTTTTTTTACTTTATGTTAGTTTTAATTAAATGATGATTTAGATTTTGATATTATTTTTGATTTAAGGTTTTGATTAACTTTTCTTTTGTCACATGAGATCTTGATGTTTTTTTTTTAAATCCTAATTTGAGTTTTATTTAATTTTGATTTAGATTTTATTAATTAATTAGTTTTGGATTAATTTGACCTCGGATAATTTTAGATTAAATTCGTTGTTTTTTGAATAAACTTTGATTTTGATTGAATGTTAATTCCCTTATTGTGATTTTTTTGGCTTAGGTAATTTGATCTTGAATCGTTTTGATATTGTTTAGAGACTAGTTTTAACTTGATATTCTTGTTAACATTTAGATTAGATTTCTGTGATTAAATCCTTAACTCTAGTTGGGTCTTGAAATTTAATTTCCTAGTTGATTTTGATTAAATTCCTAAATGAATATTTGTTAAATTAGGGATTTAATTTTCAATTGAATTTCATGGAATATTGGTTTGATTTCTTGTAGTATCTCTAATTGTTTTCCTTCTTGTTAAGTTCCCTTAGAAGTTTTGTGGTTAATTTCGGTTATTTTTCTTGACAACTATGGAATTATCGTGATGAAAGAAGTGCTTCAATACTCAAGATATTTGTGCTTACTTGATTTTCGAAATTGCTTACGAATTCTAGTTGGTTGACTTTGCTAAACTTTCCTTGTGCATAAGTTGCTTGAATGTAGGAAAAGATGTTGATGAATACACTTTTGTTCTGAAGATAGGAGCTATGTGCTTGTTGGAAATTACGATTCTGCTACGCTGAAGTGTTGTTATTGTTACTATTTTTGCTTGTTGTTGATCGAGGAGTCTTTGCTCCTAATTGTATGTTTGGCTCGGGTGCCAATTCAATTTATATTATGGTTTCATTTGCTACCATTTCGTCATACTTTGTGGTGAGCGAAGAGTCACTCAGTCTCGCCTTTTGACTGAGATCATGACATCGTTCATTTTAGTTGAGAATGAAGAGTCACTCAGTCTTGCCTTTTGGCTGAGATCACGACATCGTTCTCTCAATTGAGAACGAAGAGTCACTCAGTTTGGTTCCTTAGCTGAGATCACTACATTGTTCTAGTGATAATTGTTTAATGTAATGTCCAATTGTGATTCCTAACATGATTCGGTTTCTGATTAAACTCAAAGTAGGAGAGACGTTAGGTTTTCAATCCTTGACATGACAACATTAGGAGTTGGTTTCCCCTAGTTGTTTTCTCTTCAACCCTTGCATCGTTTCGTACGTAAATTTAAACCTCGATCAACATCGAGTATTTTATCAAAGTCAATCCAATGAACTTAACTATACCTAGATCACATTTCATTAAAGATGAAGAGGGAGTTGAAACGAAATCTTCGATTTCTCTCCTTAATTGTTTGGACCCGAGGAGCCTTTCTTAAGTCCGAACAGTTGTCTTCTCTAAAAGATTCATAATGCGATAAACTAAATCAAAAATATTTTCTCAATACTTAGATGAAAAAGAGAGAGAGTCAAGCCTTTGACTCACTCTCTCGATTACTTAGGCCCGAGGAGCATTTCTTAAGCCTCGAGTAATCGTCATTCATAAACTACTCTAGTTATATCAAAGCTCTTTCATAATATAAGATGAAAAGAGAGGGAGTCAAGTCTTTGACTCATTCTTCTGATTACTTGGGTACGAAGAGCCTTTCTTAAGCTTCAAGTAATCCTCATCCGATTAAAATACTTTAACTATCTCCTATCGTTCAAAATGTTTTCTAAACACAACCTCTTTTCGAGATGGAAAAGAGAGAAAGTCAAGTCTTTGACTCACTCTCCCGATTACTTAGGCCCGAGGAGCCTTTCTTAAGCTTTGAGTAATCGTCATCCGATCAACTTACTCGAACCATATCCAATTCCTTAACAATGAAGGTTGAAAAAGATAGAGAGTCAAGCCTTTGACCCACTTTCCCGATTACTTGGACTCGAGGAGCCTTTCTTATGCTTCAGGTAATCGTCACCTCTAGCTAAACATTCAATACGACAAACTCTCGTTTTTCTCGCCCCCGTGCGATTGAACTTTCTTAAAACACTATTCCTCGCCCTCGTGTGATCCACAACTCAAACACCTTTACCAAAGAACATTGTTTAGTCCCTTCTTCCGCGCATACAAACTCGTGCTTCAGCCTCCCCTAGCGAGCAGCCAAACTAATGTTTAGCAGTTAGAATGCGACCTAAACACTCGTTCATTTTGAAATTCTAGGTACACAACAGTGGATGTTATCACGGATGTTATGACATCCACTGTAACACAGACTACTAAACTTAAGGACAAACTGTAAATGAAAACAGTAAATAACACAGGTAATTGTTTACCCAGTTCAGTGCCAACCTCACCTACATCTGGGGGCTACCAAGCCAGGGAGGAAATTCACTATTAGTAGAATTAATTCAGAGTCAAACAACCAGTTTGCACTCTTCACTTAAGACCTACCCAATGACACTTCAGCCTAATACTAGACCAAAGTTTCCCACTCACTCCCCTTCCATCACAGCAATGATATTAACCAATTCAAATTTACAAAAGGCAATGAAGTCACACTTCAAACACACCTTGATCTTGCTTCACAACTTTGATCAAGTGACACAACTCTCTTGCTTAAAAGCTTAGAGTGACACACTGAACAAACAGTTCACAAACACTAAACCAAAGCAATCATGCAGCAGATAATTGCTTGACATACATGTATCCTAAGACACAATACACATGTGAAGAACAACTTATACAATCAGACTTCTTCACTCATAAACACACGCTCTCTGAAACCCTGTCAAGAACTGTCTTCAATTAGGATTGCTCCTTATGTATATATAGGCAGATCACATCCAATTGAGTCAGGGGCATTCCATGTTTTAGTTAGCAGTGCCTGATATGTTGCCTAAGATAACTAGGCTTCCTAAAATGTTTCCTGAAGTATAGCCTGAGCTAATAACAGAAACTAATACTTGCGCGCCCTGATGTCATACGCTCGATGTTATAACATTCAGTCATGACATCCAACTTAAGTGACTCTTAGCTATTTAAACTTACCCTGATGAATCCTCATTATGTATGTCATAACATCAGTCATGAAATTCATACATCCATCAATGTTTTGCCATAAAATACAGCCAATCAAAAGCATCTACAAACTCCCCCTTTGGCAAACTTTTGGCTAAAACATTTTGTTACCATATAAGAGATTACAAGCAGCAGAAATTATACCATACATGCAGGAAAGCTACTAGTTAAACACACACAACTAGAATACCATATCAGAGTCATCTTCCCACCCTAAGGACTACCTGTTAGGTATCACACTGATCTGTGGATCATCTAGTGATACTCCCCCTCAACTGATGCACAACACATCCGTGCACACACAACCTGCACACATAGCAGTCACACATATTTATCCAGACTGGATTCTGGATGTCAGGACATTCAGGATGACATCCATAATTATTTGTGAAGCATAACATCCTATGCTACTCCCCCTGAAAAGATGCACAACCACACACATTCTGCAAACATCCTGCAGATACACACAAAACTAGCAGCTATCCTACTACTAGGTTCCATCAAGGAACACACACAAATCTTATGCAACTTCTGCCAAAACTTACATACATTCCATACATTCCTACACACATTAGGAACTCACACATCAACAACGTATCATCACCTCATGCAAACCTGCACAGCAGCAACAACAAGCAAGTCTTCCACCTGTGAGATACACGCATACATATCTAGCCCTGCTGTTACTACCTCATACACATCTAGCCCTGCTGTTACTACCACTTCTCCCCCTTTTTATCCATAAATTAGGATCAAAAATAACTAAATCGTATAGATCAAAAAATATGGAAGTGCAGATGTTGGGGTCATTACAATATAAAGCTCATGAAGAGCAATACACAAATTTCAGCTGTCAAATAGAAACACAATCTAAGCAAGGAAACAAAAAAAAAAATCACTAGTCACACCAACACCAGCAGCACACCCTCATCATCCCAAGCAAACCAGCAAGCCACCAACACCACCATATTAATCTTCCTCCTCAGAAGAGTTGGAGTCATTGTCATCACTATCTGTTGAGATATCCTCATCACTGTTATCAGAATCTTCCTGTGGCCTAGCTGTACTGCTGGAGCCATGAGCATTATTAGAGCTATGAGGAGGATCAATGCGAGCAAGATGGATAGTTATGCCACGCACAGGTATCCCTTTCTGGAAAATCTTATCGATAATTTCCCTAGTGGATTTGTCCACATATGC